GATGGATGGCATCCTTGAAGTGACTGGACTGACCTTGAGGGAGCTGGGGGTGGTAACGGCCGACAGGGAGCTCTGGCGTGGGCTGGTCCAGGAGGTCACGAAGAGTCGGAGACGACTGAACGAGTGAACAACAACAACAACTTCCAAGGAACCCTAAATAATAATACACCCAGAAACCCCAAAGTAATATACTCAGAAGCCAAAGACCCTCAAATTACAATGCTTCTATGAACCCCAAAATACCTGTAGGAGTCAAAGAGTAAATAACAATACCTCTAGGACGTCCCCAATAATAATACCTATAGAAACACCTCCAGGAGCCAAGAACTTTTACAAACAGTAGTTTCTCAAGAAAGTCTCCTAATAAGATCTCCAGGAGCCAAGGGCCCCTTAAAGTAACAATACCTCAAAGTAAAAATATCCCCAAATTGTAATTTTTTAAGAAAGTCCCCCAAAAACACCCAGGATCCTCAAATAGGCGTATCTCCAGAAGGTCCCAGATCACCTGTAGGAGTCAAGAACCCCCCAAATACATCTCCAAATCATATCCCCAAATGATACCTTCAGGAACATCTCTAAACACTTGCAGGAAACAAGGAATCCCCTCTCCTAATAGCAGTGTTTCCAAAGCCCCCAAAGTACCTGTAGGAGCCAAAGAGCAGATAACAATACCTCCAGGACCCTCAAAATAATAATAATAATAATAATAATAATAATAATAATTCCAAAAATAATACCCCCAGAAACACCTCCAACACTTGTAGGAACTAAGGAATCCCCCCTCCCAATAGTAGTATCTCCACAGCCCCCAAATCACCTGTAGAAGTCAAAGAGCAAATTACAATTCCTCCAGGACCCTCAAAATAATAATAATAATAATAATAATAATAATAATAATATATCCAAAAATAATACCCCCAGAAACACCTCCAACACTTGCAGGAAACAAGGAATCCCCCCCCCCCAATAGTAGCATCTCCAAAGCCCCAAAATCACCTGTAGAAGTCAAAGAACAAATAACAATACCTCCGGGACCCTCAAAATAATCAAATATCCCCAAATAATAATACCTCCAGACACCTGCAGGAGCCAAACAGTAGTTTCTCAAGAAAGTCACCCTATAAGATCTTCAAGAGCCCCTTAAAATAACAATAGCTCAAAGTAAAAATATCCCCAAATTGTAATATTTTAAGAAAGCCCTCCAAACACCTCCAGGATCTTCAATTAGCAGTCTATCCAGAAGCCCCCAGATCACCTGTAGGAGCCAAGAACCCCCTAAATACCTCTCCAAATAATATCCCCAAATAATAGCTCCAGAAACACCTGCAGGAACCAAGGAACCCTTAACACTAATCTCTCCAAAAATCTTTAAATCAGATCTCTAGGAGGCAAAGGCCCCCCAATAACAATACCTTCGGGACCCCCAACACAATAGTCTCCCCAACTAACAATACCCTTCCCAACACCTGCAGGAGCCAAGGATCCCCCAAATAGCAATATCTCCTGGATCCCCAAATAATAATAATATCTCCAAATAACAATACCTCCAGAAACACCTCCAAGCACCTGCAGAAACCAAGGAACATTAAATCTCCAAATCTTGCCAAAGGAAAATTAATCTCTCCAAGCATTAATATCTCCAAATCAGATCTCTAGGAGGCAAGAAAGCCTCAATAACAATACCTCCAGGACCCCTCAACATAATAGTATTCATCCCCAACTAAATAATACATCCAGAAACAGCTCAAAACACCTGCAGAAACCAAGGAACATTAATCTCTCCAAATCTCACCAAAGGAACATTAATCTCTCCAAATCAGATTTCTAGGAAGCAACGCCCCCCCCCCCCCCAATAACAAGACCTCTAGGACTTTCAACCTGATAGTCTCCCCAACTAAATAATACCTCCAGAAACCCTTCCCAACACCTGCAGGAGCCAAGGATCCCCCAAATAACAATACCTCCAGGACCCTCAAAATAATAATATCCCCAAATAATAATACCTCCAAACACCTGCAGAAACCAAGGAACAATCTAATCTCTCCAAAGGAACATTAATCTCACCAAACATAAATACCTCCAAATCATATCTCTAGGAAGTAAGGACCCCCAAACAACAAGACCTCCAGGACTTCCAACCTAATAGTCTCCCCAACTAACCATACCTACAGAAACCCTTCCCAACACCCGCAGGAGCCAAGGGCCCCCTAATAACCATACCTCCAGGAGCACACAAACAATAATAATAAAAACACCCCCAGACACCTGCAGGAGCCAAGGACTTCCTACCAGTAGTTTCTCAAGATCCCCCAAATACCTCTCCAAATAATACCTCCAGAAACACCTGCAGGAATCAAGGAACCATTAACCCTTTTGGTGATATTTTTGAATATCTCCAAAAATCTCCAAATCAGATCACTAGGAGGCAAGAACACCCCCGCGCCCCCCATAAAAATACTTCCAGAACCCCTAAACAAATAATAATACCTCCAAACACCTGCAGAAACCAAGGAACATTAATCTCTCCAAATCTCGCCAAAGGAAAATTAATCTCACCAAACATAAATATCTCCAAATCAGATTTCTAGGAAGCAAGACCTCCCCCCCCTTGCTGCAGAGCTCTAGGACTTCAAATCTAACAGTCCCCCCAACTAAATAATACTCCAGAAACCCTTCCCAACACCTGCAGGCGCCAGGGATCCCCCAAAATAATAATATTCCCAAATAATACCTCCAAACACCTGCAGGAAGCATGGAACATTAATCTCACCAAACATAAATACCTCCAAATCAGATCTCTAGGAAGCAAGGACCCCCCAACAACAAGACGTCTGGGACTTCCAACCTAATAGTCTCCCCAACTAAATAATACCTCCAGAAACCCTTCCCAACACCTGCAGGAGCCAAGGAACCCTTAACCCTTTTGGTGATATTTTTGTATCTCTCCAAAAATCTCCAAAAATACTTCCAGAACCCCTAAACAAATAATAATACCTTCAAACACCTGCAGACCCAACTAAATAATACATCCAGAAACAGCTCAAAACACCTGCAGAAACCAAGGAACATTAATCTCTCCAAATCTCACCAAAGGAACATTAATCTCTCCAAATCAGATTTCTAGGAAGCAACCCCCCCCCCCCCCCAATAACAAGACCTCTAGGACTTTCAACCTGATAGTCTCCCCAACTAAATAATACTCCAGAAACCCTTCCCAACACCTGCAGGCGCCAGGGATCCCCCAAAATAATAATATTCCCAAATAATAATACCTCCAAACACCTACAGGAAGCATAGAACTTTAATCTCACCAAACATAAATATCTCCAAATCAGATCTGTAGGAAGAAAGGACCCCCCAACAACACGACCCCTCTGGGACTTCCAACCTAATAGTCTCCCCAACTAAATAATACCTCCAGAAACCCTTCCCAACACCTGCAGGAGCCAAGGATCCCCCAAATAACAATAGCTCCCCAAATAATAATAATATTCCCAAATAATAATACCTTCAGAAACACCTCCAGACACCTTCAGGGGTCAAGAACTTCCAAACAATAGTTTCTCAAAATCCCCCAAATACCTCTCCAAATAATACCTCCAGAAACACCTGCAGGAACCAAGGAACCCTTAACCCTTTTGGTGATATTTTTGTATCTCTCCAAAAATCTCCAAAAATACTTCCAGAACCCCTAAACAAATAATAATACCTTCAAACACCTGCAGAAACCAAGGAACATTAATCTCTCCAAATCTCGCCAAAGGAAAATTAATCTCACCAAACATAAATATCTCCAAATCAGATTTCTAGGAAGCAAGACCCCCCCCCCCCAATAACAAGACCTCTAGAACTTCCAACCTGATAGTCTCCCCAACTAGTAATAATACCTCCAGAAACCCTTCCCAACACCTGCAGGAGCCAAGGATCCCCCAAATAACAATACCTCCAGGACCCTCAAAATAATAATATCCCCAAATAATAATACCTCCAAACACCTGCAGAAACCAAGGAACAATATTCTCACAAATCTCTCCAAACATTAATATCTCCAAATCAGATCTCTAGGAAGCAAGGCCCCCCCAATAACAATACCTCTGGGACTTCCAACATAATAATTAACCATACCTCTCCAGAAATCCTTCCCAATACCTGCAGGAGCCAAGGATCCCCCAAATAAAAATACTTCTAGGATCCCCAAAATAATCATATCCCCAAATAATATTTATTTATTTAAAAATTTTATATACCCGCCTTCTCCCCTCTCCAAACACCTCCAAACATAATACCTCCAAACACCTGCAGGAACCAAGGAAAACCAATCTCTCCAATCTCTCCAAAGGAACATTAATCTCACCAAAGATAAATCTCTCCAAATGAGATCTCTAGGAAGCATGGAACCCCCAACAACAAGATCTCTGGGACTTCCAACCAAATAGTCTCCCCAACTAAATAGTATCTCCAGAAACCCTTCCCAACACCTGCAGGAGCCAAGGATCCCCCAAATAACAATAGCTTCTAGACCACCCAAATAATAATAATAATAATAAACTTTATTTATATCAGATCTCTAGGAGGCAAGAGCCACCCCCCAATAAAAATACTTCCAGAACCCTAAACAAATAATAATACCTCCAAACACCTGCAGAAGTCAAGGAACATTAATGTCTCCAAATCTCGCCAAAGGAACATTAATCTCTCCAAATCAGATTTCTTGGGAGCAACGCCCCCCCCCTCCCCGCCCCCAATAACAAGACCTCTGGGACTTCCAACCTGATAGCCTCCCCAACTAAATAATACCTGCATAAACCCTTCCCAACACCTGCAGGAGCCAAGGCTCCCCCAAACACTCTCCAAAATACACCCTAAACAATGCCTCCAGCCAGGAGAGAAGGCTCCCCAAAGAGGAATGCCTCCTCCTCCTCCAGAGACACCCCCCCCTTCCAAAAGATTCCCCTCCAAGGGGGAGAGGCAGGGGACCCCGCCCCAAAGGCCAGCCTCACCTTGGCGAAGTAGAGCATCCAGAGCTCGTAGAGGCGCTCCTTGGAAGCCATGCTCTCCTCCTCCTCCTCGTCTCCTCCTTTCGCCTCTCCTCTTCCTGGGGTTCAAACGGCGGCTTTGGCCCGGTGCCTTCCTCCTCTTCTTCGCCTTCCTCCTCCTCCTCGTCCTCCTCTTCCTCCCTTCATGGCGTGCCTAGGAGGAGGAAGGAAGAAAGGAAAGAAAGAAAGAAGGCGGAGGAGGAAGGCAGGCAAGCAGGCGCGCCAAAGAAAGAAAGGAAGGAAGAGAGAAAGAAAGGAGACCTTTACGCACAGCGCGCGCGCAAAGGGAGGGAGGCAACTTTTACGCGCGACGAAAGCGGCTCTGTTCCTGGTCTCCGGGCTCCGGGGGAGGCGGCTAAGGCTGCCTCCGAGCTTCCTCCAATGCCTCCGGCTCCGAAGGCTCCTCCCCCGGCACCTGAGCCTCCTCCAAAGGCCGGGAAAGGCGGGCAGAGGCAGGCAGAGCAATGCGCCCTGCTAGAGACAAACCTCTCCAAAGGGAGAGAAGGCGAGAGGGCAGCCTTGGCGCCTGGTCAGCCACCGCCAGAAGGGACAGAGAGGTTCATCTATGCTGATGATCGTGCCATCACCGCTCAAGGGCCAAGGCATCCCAGTTCTCAGTGTCTATGCCAGAGTTTTTAAGGTTGGTCATCATGTTGATGGGAATCTTCCCACCGGAGTGGAAATCATCTATCACACAGATTTATTTATTTATCATGTCATCCGCAACCAGAACATTGTATTACATTTCTAACAGAACAAAACAAACAGATTAAAAAAAACACAACAACACAAATTTTGCAAACTTGGTAGTTGATTAAATGTCCTTTGACCAGTATCTGGCCACTTGGAGTGCCTCTGGTGTTGCCGCAAGGAGGTCCTCCCTTGTGCATGTGGCAGGGCTCAGGTTGCATTGCAGCAGGTGGTCAGTGGTTTGCTCTTCTCCACACTCTGTCATGGATTCAACTTTGTAGCCCCATTTCTGAAGGTTGGCTCTGCATCTCATGGTGCCAGAGCGCAGTCTGTTCAGTGCCTTCCAAGTCGCCCAGTTTCTGTGTGCCCAGGGGGGAGTCTCTCATTTGGTATCAGCCATTGGATTGAGGTTCTGGGTTTGAGCCTGCCACTTTTGGACTCTCGCTTGCTGAGGTGTTCCATCGAGTGTCTCTGTAGATCTTAGAAAACTATTTCTAGATTTAAGTCGTTGGCGTGCTGGCTGATACCCAAACAGGGGATGAGCTGGAGATGACTGCCTTGGTCCTTTCACTATTGGCTGCTACTTCCCGGCGGATGTCAGGTGGTGCAATACCGGCTAAGCAGTGTAATTTCTCCAGTGGTGTAGGGCGCAGACACCCCGTGATAATGCGGCATTTCTCATTAAGAGCCACATCCACTGTTTTAGCGTGGTGAGATGTGTTCCACACTGGGCATGCATACTCAGCAGCAGAGTAGCATAGTGCAAGGGCAGATGTCTTCACTGTATCTGGTTGTGATCCCCAGGTTGTGCCAGTCAGCTTTCGTATGATGTTGTTTCTAGCACCCACTTTTTGTTTGATGTTCAGGCAGTGCTTCTTGTAGGTCAGAGAATGGTCCAGAGTGACTCCCAGGTATTTGGGTGCGCTGCAATGCTCCAGTGGGATTCCTTCCCAGGTAATCCTCAGAGCTCGGGATGCTTGTCTGTTCTTGAGATGAAAGGCACATGTCTGTGTTTTAGATGGGTTGCGGATCAGCTGGTTTTCCCTGTAATAGGCAGTAAGAGCACCTAGAGCTTCGGAAAGCTTCTGTTCTACCATCTCAAAGCTCCCTGCTTGAGTGGTGATGGCACGATCATCAGCATAGATGAAACTCTCTGTCCCTTCTGGCAGTGGCTGGTCATTTGTGTAGATGTTGAACATGGATGGAGCAAGCACGCTCCCCTGAGGCAGGCCGTTCTTCTGTTTCCGCCATCTGCTTCTCTGGCCCTGGAACTCAACAAAGAAGCTCCTGTTTTGTAGCAGGTTTCCTATGAGGCGGGTGAGGTGGTAGTCCTTTGTGATATTATACATTTTTCTCAGGAGGAGGCGGTGGTTCACAGTATCATAGGCTGCTGACAGGTCTATGAAGACAGCTCCTGTGATCTGCTGCCTTTCAAAGCCATCTTCTATGTGCTGAGTCAGGTTCAGCACTTGCGATGTGCAGCTTTTGCCTTTCCTGAAGCCAGCTTGCTGTGGAATCAGACAGGGGTCTATTTTTTCCATAATTCTATGCAGAATGAGTCTCTCCAGAACTTTGTAGAGGTGGCACAGCAGAGAGATCACACAGATGACAAGCTATTTAACCTCATCAGACTGAAACCCAAAACCAAGGTTACAACAACATCTGTTATAGAACTCCAGTATGCTGATGACAATGTCATCTGTTTGCATTCAGAAGAAGACCTACAAGCCACTCTAAACACCCTCGCAGAAGTCTGACTTGGCCACGGTAGTCCACACTCTGGTTACATTCCGCATAGACTACTGCAACGCTCTCTACGTGGGGTTGCCTTTGAAGACTGCTCGGAAGCTTCAAATGGTCCAGCGCTCGGCAGCCAGGTTGCTAACAGGAGCGGCACTCAGGGAGCATACTACTCCTCTGTTGCGCCAGCTCCACTGGCTACCAGTTTGCTACCGGGCACAATTCAAAGTGCTGCCGTTAGCCTATAAAGCCCTAAACGGTTCTGGCTCTACTTACCTCTCCGAACGCATCTCCTCCTATGAACCGACTAGGACACTAAGATCATCTGGGGAGGCCCTGCTCTCGGTCCCGCCTGCATCACAGGCACGCTTGGCGGGGACGAGAGACAGGGCCTTCTCAGTGGTGGCCCCTCGGCTGTGGAACGCCCTGCCTGCAGATATCAGATCGGCCCCCTCCCTGCTGGCATTTCGGAGGAAAGTGAAGACCTGTCTGTTTGAACAAGCATTTGATTAAACCGTGTAATTGAACATAGGAATACGGAATAATGGATGACGAGACTGGATTCTGATTTTACTGTTGAAGCACTAATGATTGTTATTCTGATGTTTAATGATTTATGTTACAATTGTTTTTAATTGCCCTATACTTGTTTTGTGATATTTTGTATCGATGTTGTTCACCGCTTTGAGTCACCTGAGGGCTGAGAAAAATGGTATAGAAATAAAGTAAACAAATAAATAAATAAATGCAAGAAGCTCGGCCTGTCATTAAACATTGAGAAAACCAAAGTGCTGTTCCAGCACTCACCAGCCAACCCCTCTCCAATGTCAGAAATTCAGCTTATGGTGTAACATTAGAAAATGTTGACCATTTCTGCTCCCTTGGCAGCCACCTCTCCACCAAAGTTATCGTCAACACAGAAATACGACACCGCCCTGAGCTCTGTGAGTGCAGCTTTTTTCCAAATGAAGCAGAGAGTGTTTCAGGATGGGACATCCCTAGGGAGACCAAGGTGCTAGTCCATAAAGCCATAGTCCTCCCAACCCTGCTATATGCCTGCGAGACGTGGACTGTCTACAGACATCACACTCAGCTCCTGAAACGATTTCATCAGTGTTGCCTCCAGAAAATCCTGCAAATCTCTTGGGAAAACAAGTGGACATGGGTTCAATAGTACAGGTGCACCCAGAGAAAGCTAAGGACCTTGGGAAACTACAACTCCCATGATCCCATAGCATTGAGTCATGGCATCTCAATGCACCTTCACTATAGAGTTGATGCAGTTGGAAACCACTTTAACTGCCATGGCTTTTGTGGAATCCTGGCAGTTGTAGTTTCCCCAGGTCTAACTTCTCGAAGACTGCTGGTGCCTCGCCAAACTACAAATCCCAGGATTTTATAGCATTGAGTCGGGGCAGTTAAAATAGTGTTAAACTGCATTAATTCTACAATGTAGTCGTGCACTCAGTGTATTCCTTGTTCTTGGATTAAGAGCCATTGGCTTTGCAAAAGACCCTTTCTTCTAGATCGGCGTTTCTCAACCTGGGGGTTGGGATTCAGAATGCTCTTTGATTGTAGGTGAACTATAAATCCCAGCAACTACAACTCCCAAATGTCAAGGTCTATTTTCCCCAAACTCCACCAGTGTTCACATTTGGGCATATTGAGTACTCATGTCAAGTTTGGTTCTGATCCATCATTGTTTCAGTTCGCACTGTCTTATTTATTTATTTATTTATGTACAGTATTTATATTCCGCCCTTCTCACCCCGCAGGGGACTCAGGGCGGATTACAATGTACATATACATGGCAAACATTCAATGCCATAGACACACAACATATATAGACAGACACACAGAGGCTATTTAACATTCCAGCTTTTTCATGAGGGTATTCTGGCCACCAGGGGAGCTGTTGCTTCACCGTCCATTTGTGACACTGATGAAGTACTTCCTCATTCTTTGCATGCTTGCTGGAGATTTTTATGGTGTTGTAAACTAGCCTCCCTAAATTTCCTACTTGACAGATGCAACTGTCTTTCGGGCTGCAAAGGTCGACAACAAGCTACACAAATTGGTCGGAAGCTCACTCCGACCCGGGCTGGCTTCGAACTCATGACCTTTTGGTCAGTAGGGATCTTAATGCAGCTGACTCCCAGCCAACTGCACCACAGTCTCGGATGAAGGTGAACTACAACTCCAAAACTCAAGTTCAATGCCCACCAAACCCTTCCATTATTTTCTGTTGGTCATTGGAGTTTTGTGTGCCAGGTTCATTTGCATTGTTGGTGGTGTTCAGAATGCTCTTTGATTGTAGGTAAACTATAAATCCCAGCAACTACAACTCCCAAATGACAAAATCACACCCCTAACCCCAACACTATTCAAATTTGGCCATATCGGGTATTTGTGCCAAGTTTGAATGAAAATACATCCTTCCTGCACATCAAATATTTACATTACGATTCATACCGGTAGAGAAATGACAGTTATGAAGTAGCAACGAAAATGATTTTATGGTTGCGGGTAACCACAACATGAAGAACTGTGTTAAGGGGTTGTGACACTCGGAAGGTTAAGAAACACTGTGCTAGATGGTTATGACGGATCAATATAACCATCTTGTGCTGTCACACGCTGGGCCTGTAGCAATTGTCTATTAACAGGACGTGGTCTCTATATGCCCAGCGGGATGCCCGGGGTGCCTCGGCTGAGAGGCCCTATGGATTTCCCTATACAAAGTCTTTAGAAGCTTAGAAAGTTTAACAAGGTTCTTTATTAATGCTTAAATCTTCAACAAATCAATCAAATACTTTAAAACTCTGGAAAACTGGTAGCTTTCTTAATCTGCCCACAAGGGACAGGCAACTTGCTTCAAGAACTGTTTCTTTCTTCTATAAAGGAAATCCTTGACCCTTCCCTGGGCAATCTGTTCTTAGGCTGGCGTGGGGCCCTTCTCCCAGTTCCAGTTTGCTTTATGAGTAAC